ACATTAAACAAAAATTCATTTAAATTTAATACGATAATTAATTACACATTCATTGGATAAATTATTATTATGGTACATTTACAAAAAACACGTATACTTACTATTATGGGGTAAGTGCAGCGGTTACGTAGGTAGTTTGTGTTAAAACTTTGATTACATACGTATGTTACATAGGTACGTACCTATGACCTATTATATATTGAATCCTTAAAAGTATATCTACGCCACAATAATTTTTATGCAATGTGCTTATGTTTCAACACACTTAACACCTTATTTACTACCACTTACCACTACATATACAGAAAATATTTTATTTAATATGGCTGTACTTAGGCCTTATAAAGTAGAAACTGAAAGGCGCGGGAAAACGATTTATTTTTACTAAGTAGTGTTATAAATAGCAATGACATCAAATTTTATGTTTTTTAAGATAATAAGTATGATTAAGGTCAGGGCCGGGTTTAAGGCAGGACAGACGAGGCTGTGGCCCAGTAGCCTCCACAACAGAGATAAAAAATAACCAAATTTCGACGGGATCTCCAACCAGGATGGTGCAATTCATAAATGGCCCATAGTGCCAGAAAATACACCCCTCGTCAGAGGCCTTCACTTCTTCGTTACCTCTGGGGCTAGGGCTGCCATCTCTTAAATGTGGCAACCAGGATAAGACGCGTGATAACCCCGAATTTTTTATAGCCCAGAACCCGGACAGACCAATAAAAAAACAGTTATAAAAAAGTCACAAATCCACTTTTTTATGTTGATCTAGGCAAAAGAGCTAGCGGTCTACCTCATAATAAGTGGTCACTGCTGCCCATGGACACTTGCAGCACCAAGGGCCACTCATGCGTTGCCATAAATTTTTAAACCCGGACAACAAATAAAACCCCGCCCGGACGCTCCCCGGACGCCCCGTAAACTAGGACAAATCCGGGGAAACCCGGACGGACGGCAGCCCTATCTGGGGCTCCACACCTCTAAATCCGATCCTGGAAAAGGTTACAAGTTCCTTAGCGGACGCTAAAACAGAACGTGATTTGTTTATATGTTAAAAATATAACCAACTATTGGATCAAGATCAAACTAAGTCCCCTTACCTTTATCCATTGCAACGAGCAAGCCTGCCGGCCACGCTATCAGATCCAATTTGCCCGAATCAAGCCTGCCAACACATGTGCCAAAATTGGTAAATATCACCCGTCTTATAATATCCGAAAGGTAACTAACTGAGTTTGGATGGATAGTTGCGTTAGTTAGTAAAGTACTGTTATTTTATTTACCTTTCCTATTTAACAAAAACCGGGCATGTGCAAGTCGGACTCGACCTCCTAGGGTTCCGTACCGTTTCCGTAGACTAGCTCCCCAAAGTAAGCACTTCGCTTGTATTATGTGATTTAATGAATGATTTAGTGAATTCGAACCTGTGAGCAGGGGGGGGCGTCTTAACCATATGCGGCGCCCGGGTGCGAAAGCCAACAATACACCCCTTTTTCAAAAAAATTGACAATTATTTTTTTGTATAGACTACTACAAAAATATAGAAGAAATAAGTCACAGAAATAAGCAAGCATACGTATGTATGTATATGTTTATGTATATAAATTTTACTGACTGCGCGTTGTTAGTGAGGAAGCCACTGTCACTAACAAGGGTAATTGAGTCTAAAGTCCACGAGGGTGATTTGAGGGGAGCGGTTCGGTTACTCATGAGCGAAGACTCCATTGCACCGCCGGGACCGGAGACTGTTGCTGCCCTTCAATCAAAACATCCGCATCCGTCCCGTCTTCTTCATTTTCCACCGGAGCCGGTCTCGTGCATTCCTGATGTGTGTCCCTATTTATATGGGGCGACACTATGTGCCTTGAAGAAGAAGGAGGGTGGGTTGAGGCCTATCGCGGTAGGGAGTGTGCTTCGGCGCTTAGTGGCCAAGCTGGGATGCCGAGCTGTGAAGGAGCAAATGGCTTCCTACCTTCAACCACATCGATTAGGTTTTGGTATACGTCTAGGTTGTGAGGCGGGAATACATGCCGTTCGGACTTTTGCAATGGATCCGGAGAATGTGGATGGAATGATAGTTAAGCTAGATTTGAAGAACGCCTTCAATACTCTTGAAAGGGACGTCATGCTTCGTGGGGTGATGGAGAATATCCCTGAGCTTTATCCTTTCCTCCACCAGGCATATCATATACCTTCTAACCTATACGTCGGCACTGATTTAATCCTGTCCCAGGTTGGTGCGCAACAGGGAGACCCCCTCGGCCCCCTCGCCTTTAGCCTTGCCATTCACAAAGTGATCACTGAGCTCAAATCGCCCCTCAACATCTGGTACTTAGATGATGGGACCATTGGGGGTAAACCAGAAGAAGTGGAAAGGGACTTAGCTTTCTTATTACCCCGTCTGGGGGAGTTAGGTCTAGAGGTAAATTTTACAAAATGCGGGTTCTTTTCCTGTAGTTCGGTGTCATCTCAATCCTTCTCGTCTTTCACTTGTTTGCTTCCGGGCCTCAAGGAGCTCAATAAAGATTCTTTTAATTTGCTTGGTGCTCCTATTTTTCCATCTGCAGTTCCGGAGGCCATGAAAACTCGTAAGGATGTTCTCTTGCTGGCCAGCGAGCGTCTAGAGGCCATTGCTCCTCACGTTGCTCTAGTCCTCTTGCAGAAATGTTTTGCCATCCCAAAAATAACATACCTCCTTCGGACGGCTCCAGTTTGGATGTTCCGTGATTATATTGCTTCTTTTGACGCTATCATAAAAAATGCGGTTCAGACAATTTTAAATGTCTCCCTGAGTGGCAACCACTGGAAACAGGCATCTTTGCCAATCCGATACGGGGGTATTGGGGTGCGTTCTGTTAGTGATGTGAGTCTCCCGGCTTTCTTGGCCTCGGCCCATGGGGTTTCGGGTTTGGTGTGGGACGCGACGTGTGTCAGTACTTTCGCCGCTACCCACATCGGCCGCACGACACGCAGGGCTGGGGCGGCGGCTGAGTATCAGGCAACGGCGAAGCGCTTAAAATATTCCTCGTTGGGGCAAGGATATATTTTCGTGCCTTTGGCGGTGGAAACGGCGGGTTGTTGGAGCGCAGAGGCCAAGCAATTTGTGTGGGAGCTGGGCCACCGACTCAGGCAAAAAACTAATGACCCTCGCTCCGGGTCGTTTCTGGCACAAAGATTGTCTATTGCCATCCAGCGTGGCAATGCTGCAAGCATAATGGGCACCTTTGCGCCAGAAACTATACGGGGTGATATTTGAATATTATTAGTATTTGTATATTATTCTTGTACATAATGTTAATTTTAGTTATTATATTATATTTTTAAGGTTTTTAGTTTTAGGTTCATTGTTACAACTTTTTTTCAAAGTTATTTTATTTATATTTTGACGTGTAACATCTTTCCTATCGCTTTCATGCAATTTGTGGGAGTGATTACGTGAAGGAAGTGTGTAACAGGAAGTTTGGGAAGCGAGCGCTATTTGATTTGATTTTAGAACATAATCTTCAAATGTATTATTCCTTTTGTAGTAGGTTTTGTTCCTTTTTTTACTAATATTTTAATATAAGGTGAGGTTTCAAATGTTACACATCATACGCGACTACTGTAAGGCTCGCTCGTTTTTTTATGCAAGGGATTGTGTTAATGTGTTACAAAGAAGTTATTGCCAATTTTATCACCTACCTACCTAGTTAAAATCATTTTAGATTTAGTTTTGCTCATATCTTTTTAATTCCAATAGATATACTGTCATACAAATAAAATTTGTTTATGTATTATAGTTTGACGGAGTTGACTACAAAAACGTAAACAATCCTTAAAACTGACTGTATGTACTTAAATCGTAAGTTTTAATTTTGTTATTAAATATTTAAATAAATATAAATTGTAGTTGGGTAAGGTAAGTAGGTATTATCTACCACCAGATTCATTCAGATGTTGATCGCCCGTCGCCCGGCCCGGCTGCGGCCGCACTCAGCGCTCCTATGGGAAAGACGCCCCTACCTGTGAGTAGGTGTCACCTTGCAACCCAGCGTACATACCACGCGCCATGGAGGTCATCTTATTTTTTTTTTATTAATAGTTCACAATAATTAGGAAGTATTTGTAGGTAGTAGGTAATATTTGTAGGTACACACAAGGTGCATATTATTAATATTATAAAGATAGTTTCTGTAATGAAAACCAGTTTCCAAACAGTACGCATACAGATGCAAACTGTAAAGTACTTCACCAATTATACATACACCAAAATGTCTAAGTAAGTATTAGTTTTTTTATTCTTAGTCATCAATGTAAAGCTATAGATAGCTTAAATAGATTTTTAATTATTTTTATATACACCATAAAAATAATTAAAAATCTATTTAAGGTAGTATGATTGGCACAAGCGCCAATCAAGCCCTTTCATACCTGGGTGTGGAGTATCTCCACAGACAGTAGCGACGTTAGGGGAGGGCGGTGGGGCAACCACTATACAGGGCGACCCACGGCGACCTCACACGGAGGGAAAGTATATTAAATATTGAAGATCGGATATTTTACTGAAAGGAGACATCATTTTATTTTTAATAATAACTAGAACTGCATACACAGATTTTGTTTTTAAATCGCCTGTTACAACTGGGAATCAAACTCGTGAAATTTCGAAAAAGAACAACATATTTTATGATAACCATCGAAAGGGTTAATCACGAGGATTATTTTTTGCTTAATAACATAGCAATTTAAATGAAAGGAATGTCTTATTACGTGATAAAAATAATAAAGTGATATACAAACTGTAGTTTTGGAACTCACAGTTACAATGCGACTGGCAGAAATTTGTAAAAATAATAATTCGAAAATGGAACACATTTTTCAAGCGTCTGTTCTTTTGTGTTTTGTTTCATTTTTTTGCATTTTTTGTGAATTTACTTATCATGGCGTACCAAAATAAAATAGATTTAATGGAAGCTTACTTTATGAACCACAAAGACATATCATAAGCTTTGCGTTGGTACCGCGAAAGATATCCTGATAGAGACATACCACGGAGGAAAAACAAAGAGACATACCTTTTCGATATGTGTTTAAAAGGTTAGTGGATACTTTAAACAATTTAGGGCGTTTTGATATGCGCTTACAGAATCCAGAACAGCGGGTGATAAACGTCAACGACGATGAAAATTTTAACTTACTTTGAGGCGTATCCGAAGAGTTCAGTGAGGGAAGGTGAAGAAGAAATTGGAATTTCCAAGAGTAAAATACACCGAGCATTGAAAAAATACAAGTTTAAGAGTTATGTTGAAGGACGATTAGTGCAAAAATTACGCCGGGGAGATGCTGAAAGACGTCTTAATTTTTGTCACCATATTGAGAGGCTCATCCTTGAGAATCAAAATGTTCTGGAGACCATTATTTGGTCAGACGAGTCAAACTTCAGTAACAATGGTATGTACAACCGGCGTAATAATCGTATTTGGTCCAGACAGAATCCCTTACGAATCCACGAGACTAATGATCAAGTGCATTTTTCTTTTAACTGTTGGTGTGGGATTGTTAAAAACCGAGTACTCTTAATACATTTTTACGAAGGAAATCTGGCGCCGGCTCGTAACAGTAGGAGAACTGCCGAGTTTCTTAATGAACATTCTCCTTCATGGATCGGTACTTATGGACAAATTCGATGGCCAGCGTGATCCCCAAATCTAACCCCACTGGACTTTTTTGTGGGGTTATGTAAAAGATGTAGTATACAAGAACCGGTACGACAGTGTTCAGGAGTTACAAAATGAACTCAGACGTATTATAACAAACATTCACCACGTAAAGATAATGAAATCGACAGGCAGAGAAATTATTAAAAGAGTGAGAATTTGCATACAACAAAATGGATTACATTTTGAACATTTGATAAATTAAATATTTCTTTTTTTTTCTTGCATCGTTTCGTTTTTATATTAGTTTGAGTTAAATAATTTTAAATAAAATGTTAAATTTAATTACTTTTCTTTCATTTAAATGCTACGTTATTTAGCACAAAATAATTCTTATGATTAAACCTTTCGATAGTTATCATAAAATATGACGTGTTTTTTTTTTGAAATTTCACGAGTTTCCCAGTTGATTCCCAGTTGTAGCAGGCGATTTTAAAAAATCTGTGAATGCAGTTCTAATTATTATTAAAAATAAAATGATGTCTTCTTTCAGTGAAATATCCTATCATCAATATTTATTATACTTTCCCTCCGTGTGAGGTTGCCGTGGGACGCCCTGTATAGTATATCAGTGAAACTTTAACTGATATTTTCATAAACAACAATTTTATTGAGTATTCAGTAATTTTATATTTACTGATCCAGAAGTTGCGAAAGTTCAAAAAGATAACTTATATTTATCTATTATCGTAATAATTAAAAATAATTAATGTTTTTATTCATCTTAAACGATTTTCCCGACCTCTCCGACTATAAAGAAACTCAGTAGCTATGTTTTACGGTTTTAAACCACGCCCAACCCGGGTAGAAATGGTCTCGTGAACAAGCGCTTTTCCTGCTCATTCTTAATCATTACGTCACATGCACAGAGGAGGATTATTCTTAAGGTAAACTAGGCATGTGCCTAGGGGCGCGAGGGTACAAAGGGGCGCGCGGGCGGAATTGTAAAAAAAAGAAGTTAGTTAATATAAAATTAATTAGGCCAGTAAGTAAGCCACCTAACAACCATATCGATGATACATGATCTCTGAATAAAGTTGGAAAGATACAATTGCAATGTTCATCGCATCGACCGGATCGGTTTCGGTCAAACTATAGTAAGAGTTATCTATATATATATATATGTATATATATATATATATATCCTGTTTATAATCTCTTATCTATTAGACAAGTCCGTCCGTCCGTCTGTGGTGCTGTTTCAGCGCCCAAACCGTAAGAGATAGATAAAGAGAATGTTTAAGTTATAAGTTAAGAATAGTCTGATAAGACTACAAATCGGATTTGAGTAACGTAGCACTTCCGGTTTTCGAGAAATCACGTGATTTCTATTTTGTAATTATCACAATTTTAATAGCAGCATTTTACCTGAAATAAAATGCATATTAAAATACTTACCTCACTGAAAGCTTTATATTGAGATATCACTTCCGTTTCCCGTCGAATTACCATCAGTTTCCTTTTATTCACCTTATATCCGGTCCAGTGGCGACACCAGGCAGAAGCGCGGCCATTTTTGTTTTCCTAAGTTTTGACAGCGCCATATTAACTCATTGGCTCAATTATTTTACCAGGCAGAATTTAAAGTGAAAGCTTTCAGTGAGGTAAGTATTTTAATATGCATTTTATTTCAGGTAAAATGCTGCTATTAAACTACTTGACCGTCACTGAAAGCTTTATATTGAGACTTGTTTGTTATCGCCTGGTGATCGCCACGTACATAGATATATACGCCAATTTGACAATTTATGATAAATTTAAATATTAACATTTATCAGATTATATGAAACTGTTTATAGAAACGAGTAAGCTTAAAAATGAATCAAATAATATTATTTGAATCACGCCTTTAATTTCTTCAAGCTTACGAAGCTGCTTTAACATATGTATTAGCTGATCGCTATATTCCTTTGTTTAAAACTCGCGAAGTTTATATATATATATACTTCTACATATATTTGCTTTGTTAATGACCGGACGCTTCCTTGTGTAGCATTCATTTGTATCTTTGTATATCACAAATAAGGCGTACGAACGCGAGAAAAAGATGTAAAGTTGTTCGATACTGAGCCTTACATTTTGCAAGACTGTACTTTTTACTTAAATACCAAAAATCAGGGTCCCACTTACGATTACCATTATTCGGTACAAGTCACCAATCGGATTGTCTTTAACTACTTTCACCTGTTTTGAACCAAAACAAGGCTAAACTAATCTTCGTCGGTACAAATACAATGATTCGGGATAATTTGAAGTAGGAACAAGTCATGTGTACCACATGCTGAACCAAATAATACGCAGCATAATTACTGTATGACGTTCAGAACAACATATATGACGAAGTATTTGAAACAGATCATTATGATGTAACGAGTACATTATTGAAGAAAAGGAAATAAGTTAACTTATAGACACAGAATAGTAGGTTACGGACTGATTCTTTAAAAACAATCGACTTCAATATATGTGTTTGCCAAGACAGGTGAGCTTAGGTAATTAGACTTATCATCCATTGGTATATCATGTAAAAACTACTGACTTATTTAAAATAATGGTACTTATTTTAAGATAAGTCACGAGTTAAAAATAAGTCTCTCAAAAATCGTGTTAGTTCAGAGCAGAGTCCACAACTTGCGAGATTATTCCGATAAACATTCTTGTTCCTAGACCAATGCAACCACGCAAGCCAGCGTTTCCGAGCCATCTCATAGCTGTTTAAGACAGAGCTGTCGCTCTTTGTAGAATATGTTGAAAAAAAACTATACTTCCCAAGCTTTCATATTAGATTGGCGGGAAGTGATTGGAAGGTCGATTGCAGTGAATTCATAATTATTGTTAGAAGTAGGGAGTGGTTGATACAACCCCACGGAATGACAAAAATGTTGAAACCGATCAACTTCTGAAGTTTACGTTTTTACAACGAAATTCTCTGGTATAGTTTTTATATTGTTGCTGGGTTGCCGTGATAAATTATGCTATTACGAAGTTCAGACCAAATTTTATGAAATTCATTTGCCATCCTGGAATCTATAATTGATTGTAATTTTTCTTTTGTTTTTCAGTTCTTAGATCTGAGTCATTTATATGTATTACTTAATACTCAATAAAGATTTAGTTATTTATAAGATTTACACAGCTTACATGAGGTGTGCATGTACTATGCGTAGGGTTTGAAGTATATTTATTCCAGACAGTCGTGGCAAGGTTAGAAAGCGTAAGTTTAATATTAAGAACAGTTTTCAGTAATTTTTACTAAAATAACATAAAGGGGATAATAGGGAAGATGCAATATTTTTATTTTTGTTTTCATTTTAAAGAATTCCATGTAGAATAAACCACAGATATATTAAAATATTAAAACATTGTGATTTATCGGAAAAAATGCGGTTTTAAATTGAATATTTAAATTTTCGCGCGAAAACGAACCTATGGTTGCGATGACGTCACTCCTGTCTGTCACTGGTCGTAATTGTTCGTTGCTGGCTTTAAATTTTCATACTATTGCATATTTGTTCGAATTTCGAAATATTTTTTTGAAAAATTTAAAATGGTCTATCCGTCAACATCATGTGATCATAATAATACCACTAATATTCCGAAAAAAAGCCGTGTTGACTCATGTTTTGTGCCAATCTACTTCAACAAAGTTCCCAAATAAATTGTTTTTGACTGGAACTTCTGACCCAAAACTGAAAAAAAAGTGGTTTCAAGCTGCGAAGAGAAATGACATATTATTCTCCAAAGACCATCATTCGATGCTGAGAAGATCACTTTGACGTAAGTTGGCGAATATACTTGTTATATGCTTAATTAATCTGCTTGTACGTAAAAACGCATTAGTAACCTACCTAATACTTACAAAACCTGTCTATAACATATTTTTAATTTTACAGTTGGAGAATGACGTCGTAAATTAGATAAAGTTTAAAATGTGTGGCACAATCTTCACATTGGCAGGACTGAACCAAGCTTTGCGTTTCATTTAAAATAACTGTAACACGATAACCTTCTTTACATAGTTTATGCTCCGGAGAACTCGACCTTTTACTGTACATAATTTTCCATCTCTTTTAATTTGGACATACCCGATTGCATTATCGCCGTAAGATTTGTAGAAGCCGCTGAATAAAATACGAAGTTTCACAACTAAGATTTTTACATACCGTAGTAATATAGTCCCTTTCATTTCTACACTTAAAAACTCTGCACTTTGGACAAAAAAAGTTATAACCATGTCAACGCTAACTCTTGGTAAATTCCTGGAGTCTGCTTTGATAAACGCAACTTCCATTTTTATTAAATGTAAAAAAACGCAATAAATATTCCCATAAAATAATATTTACTTTAACAACCATAACCTCAAAGAAGTTGTCATAACAGGAGTGACGTCACTAAACGCTGATTGGTGTTTTAAAATACGTTCCGTTTCAAGTATTTTTAATTCGTAATAATTGTTAAAAAACAGCATTATGTAAAATAAAAACGTTGCAGTGGCATTTCTTTTATATTTTTTTAACATTTTAATCATAAAATTTTCATAAATATTATATATGCATCTTCCCTATTGCATACAATGATCTTCAAAACCTTTCAAGAATTTGGTAGATCGTGCAATCTTTCTTCAGTAACTAGCACCACTTATATATCAAAATGAACATGTTGGCCACCTCAGACACCACATACACGACATTTCTAATATTGCAAGTTTCTCTCATTACGCGATCAAAAGAGTGAGCAACCCATTTGGTTTACTTTTGTTATTTTCAAGAGAAAATATGTTATCTTCTGGCAGATAGTCCTTAAATTGCAGAAAACTTAGAATTCTTTACATATTTATAGTGTACTGCACTTGAGATTGGAGTTTGATATATATTGGATTTAGATAAACAAGCTTTTGAATGGCATGCGATACCATTAAATTTATTTAAGAATTATTTATGGAGCTCCCAATTTATCAACTTACCTGCACTAAATTTTTTCAAACATTAATTGTTTCGATATTCCTTTTTCTTTTGAAATGTATTATATATTACGGTAGAACAACCGTAGTGATCGAGTCAACACTTCACACCAATTAGCCTAGCCTTATAATGAGCATTGAAAGGCTTGTGTTATAGGCTAACGCCTAGAAATGCATAATGATGATGCATAGATTAGAATTTATTAGATTAGATTTTGAATTCATATTTGTTAACAACCAAAACTTAGGCACAGATGCTC